GGAGGCACACACACAACAGCAGCCACAGTCTCGCGGCAGTTAAAGTCCGTGCCGACTCCGCCAACCCCTTCAGCAACCATCGACCAACCCCAATCAGGCCCTCAAGCATTCGCCGTGTTAATCGCTTTATGTGCAGCGCGTAGATGTCTTCTTTAATGCAGCACAGTTGTGCGTGTGTGTATTCCTTTTTTATTTGTATGCGTGCGTGTGTGTTTGTGTGTGTTTTTGTAAGTACGTCTTTGTGCGTACAACAACCTAGGGCAATATACGCACAGCTGCCAAAATTTCTTACCTTCATTTCATGAAATGAAACAATTAGGACAAAAAGTTGCTTCGTGTCTGCTGCTCGTTGCGAGGACTAAGGACTCGTTCTCTGTATGTGTGTGTGTGCTTGGGTTTGGCTTGGATACGTAACCCTTTTTTATAGCTCGACAAACATGTGTATGCTTGTAAACAAGGCTGCTCTGATGTGCTGTGTGAGTGTGTGTGTGTGTGTGTGTGTGTGTCTATATATGTATATGTGTGTGCTTGTGTCTCTGTGTGCGTTTAATGACAAAATAATTAGAAAACTTTTTGTGTACTTTGTAGCTGGAGCTGTGTCGATGTGGCTGCTGTCAGAGTTCCGCCCACTACTTGGCAGACCTACACAAACCAGCCCCTCCCACAAACAGCATCAACAGTATCACCCCATCAATGTCACCGCCAATTTTCTACTTCTGCTTGTCGGCTACACTTAGGGAAAAGCAAACTCGTAAACTTTGTTTTACTTATTTCAAGTACTGTTACCATATTTTCAAATATGAATGAGCCAATAATTAACAGTCAAAAAATTTTAAAACAACCTTGGTTTTAAATTTAACTAACTTAGTGTTATTTGAAGATTATGGCAGCATTGAATTGTAAACTTAAGCACTCATAATATGAACTGAATATCTTACACTACTTAGTTAATTGAATGAAAATACAACTACTCTCAAAATGTTCTTGAAGAACCGGTGTTGACAACGCAAGTTTGTATTTAATTAGAATAAATACATTAGTCTCCATTTTCTGTGTGTGTACTTCATCTCCATCTGCTTCTTCCGTTTCGCTTTCTTCTTGTTCCCGCCCCCGTTCGGGTTGGTGCCACTAAATGCCATCCTTGAAGACAGTCGCACATTTTCAAATTGTCCTGCACAACAAGGACTCTAAAGGCAACAAGAATCTGACGGCAATTACCTGACGCAGGCAACACCATTGACACCGGAGCAGGAGTCGGAGCGTTTTTTAAATGTTAATGTTTAAATTTAAGTAACATTGACATATTTTGCTCTGACACCGTGCGAATCCTTAAGGCAACGCTGCCAGTGGTATGAGCTATTTTTAGCAACTTGAAAATAATTTTGGGAATATACAAAATACCTACGCACTTGTTCAGGACGGTCTCTGAGATGGGGTCTTGCCGTGTGCACGATTGGATTTGTTATCGGTTTTTAATTAGCATTGAATTAATGCAATGAATATTTATTAAAACCCATGTAGCCAGTGGAGTGTTACTAATGGCTTAATATATATAGACACAGGCTGCGAATCTCACGGTTCAACTCAGCGTTGGCCATTTTATTGAACTTGACAGCTGCTGCAGATACATATACATACACACAGAATGAGAGAGAGAGAGAGGTGGACAGAGAGAGAGAGAGAGAGAGAGCTACTTGGCATTCAGCTGTCAAACACTTAAAACATATGGCACACGGCGCATAGACGAGCAGCAAACATTGATGCAAATGCTGGTAAACAGGTTGCCACAGCCAAATTGAATGCTAGATAAACATAATAAATGTCCAAGAGTACGCCACTCCGGAATCCACGACACGCCACTCCACTTCCACTACACACTCCGGCTGTCTGGCAGTCCGTGCCACCATCGTCAGCGGGCCCACACAGCGTATGCGTAACGCAAGAGTTGCTCGTCACGAAACTGGCACACAACACAACGTGGCAGCCCTCAAACGATTCAACTTGCCCCTCTGCGGATATGCTTGTGTATGTGTATTGTACGTATGTGTGCCAGTATGTGTATGTGCGTGGGTGTGTGAGTGGGTGTGTGCGTGTAGATGTTTTTATTGGAGTGCGTAGCGAAACACTTTAACTTGCTGGCAAAATAGCATCACGAAATGGAAACTGGGCTACGGCGACTGTTGACCAAGGTTCACACACACGCACATGAGCACTCACATATATTTATTTATATGACTGTGTATATGTATGTATATGTGTATGTATATGTATATTTATGTGCACGTGCCATCAAAGAACCAAGGCAGACGATGGTGCGGCTGGAAATGGCCAGGCTTGCTTACTTGCTTACTCCAAAGCAAGCACAGGTAGCAAAACCTAACTCGACACCCACTATTCAGAACTGTTAGATCTATTTAAGTGATAACCGACGTTTAATTAATGAAAACTGTTTAGCAGCTGCCCCAAAGTAGTTCCTATAAATAATAGGACATTTCTCAATATATATGCAAATAGATCTATATATCCTTACAAGGTAAGACCAGTCTATTTAGAACGAAAATTTGACTTATAAGCTCGAGTTCATTTTATCGATGACTCACATTATTTGGACTTAGTCCATTGCTCAGGTTGATAGAATAATGTCACCCCCATCCACTCAATATGTTTCCTAAGTATTTGTGGTGTTCCGGAGCAAAAAAAAAAAAAAAAAAAACCAAGAAAAGTTGATTGCAAACTTTTTTGGACCACGTGCAATGGGATTGTGTGCGCTTTTGGGTCGCCAGTTGATTTTGTACAGTTCAGTAGAGTTTATTTTGCTGGTGCTGTTGCTGCTGAGGGCACAGTTTTGGCCAGGTGTGGCAAACAGTTTGCCAAGAAAGAGTGCCACTTGGCATGGGGCATATATTTTTACTGCGTAGCTGGCTGGCATCGCACTCGTTCCTTGTAGTCTCGTTTCTGGTCTAGTCTCGGCATGGCCAAGTCGAGCGTGAAATGTTGATGAAGTAAACCTGCAACTAGTTACATGTGTAGCATGCTACATGATGCATGCGGCATCCTGCTGCATGCTCTTGCGGTCGAGTGTTAAGCTACAAAACTTTGCTCGGTTCGTTTGGCTTTGTCTAAACACAAATTAGTTGTTGCTGCAGCTGCACCTGCATTTTGTTTTTTACAATATTTGGTTTTTTTTTTTGTGGGTTTTTTTTTATATTTTTATGTAAAAAGTTTATGTTGTTCATAAAAACAAATTTATGTATATTTAGCTGTTAGTTGCATTTTTTTATGCCACTTGTCCCATATGCATATAAATAAAGCGATAAAAAATTCTACAAAAGCGAAGTAAATGGAAAAAAACTGAAAATAAATAAAAACGAAACAGCAAAAGTTCTGCAACTAGAGCATGATATGATGCATAACCACAGCCAGGAGGCAATGGCTAAAACCGGTGCCAGAGCAACTGCAGCTGTAGTGGCCACATGGATGCACCACCGTTGCAACTACAACTAAAATAAATGCCGAACAGGATTCAGTTGCAAGGACAATGTAACCATGTTAAACAACAATCAGAGTGGAAATACAAACCACTCGTTGGTAATTTTGCATGCAACGCTTAATGTCTGTGGCAAAAGTGGCGCTGATTTCGGGAGACAACTTTTTCCACCATTTTTTCCAGAGTGTTATTTTTTTCTTCTTCTTTTTTTTTTGCTTGTTCACTGCCCCAACTACCGCCAAAAAACTTTAGCGACACAGTTTCGCTCGCGGCAAAGGGAACAACAAAAACAAGAACAATGCCATCAAATTAAACGAAAACTATACAACATTTTGGTGCAGCGGCATTGGCGCACTCCAAAATTTGAGTGAGTGGCTGCCTGCATTAAAAATCAGGCTGGCTACGGGCTGAGGGGGCAAATGGGGCGTGCGAAGCTTGCCAAAAATGAACAACAATGTGGCGGATTCCGAGCCAAGTTGTTATTGTTGTTGTGGTTGTAGTTGGAGTTGCTTCTACCTCCGCCTCTGTCTCTGCCTCTGCCTCGTTGTGTAAAGTTTGAAGTGCGCATAATAAGGCAGGCAGCGTCAGAGAGCAGTCAAACTACAGCAAATTAGTCGCTGCGCATAGTGGGCGTTGGGGTGTACATATGGCACCCCAAAAAGTAGGCAACCCCTTCGCTGCAAGCACTGAGGAAGGGTCTACTTTGCAGAGCAAGAGAGAGCCCTCGTTGGGTATCACTCGTGCTTTGGAAAGTGAAACTTTTATTCGTTTCTTTACTAAGTGGTTCAGTATGCAATTACGAAGAGCTTTATAATGATAGCAGTCAAGTGTATGCCAACTTAAAGGGTCTTAGATCCTTTGGCTTCCATAAGTATCTATCTATTATTTCAAGGTGTTATTCCTGCTTGGCACGATAGCTGTCAGACAGTAAAAAAGGCATATGAGCTCATAAAATAAATATACTTATATACTGCTGAGGAAGGCAAGCTGATTAGGGCGATGATTTGCACAAGAAGCTAAGCTGATTTTGCAAGCAGACTTTGAGGCTATGTACAATAAAAGTCAAATTTGTTTTAATGATAGTAAAACATATTTCAAATTTAATTGCTACAAGAGTATTAAATACATTAATTAATATCTCTATAAGCCGTATACATCTGTTTTATTTTCTCTCTTCAAATTAGCTTACAACTGATTAAGTGCGTTAAATGCAAATTACTCCCCATTTTAAAATAAAATAAAACACATCTACATCAAACATATCATTAAATGCTCTAACAGAATACTGATGTATTCACCTGAGGGGGTTTTAGTTTAAGTTTTAGTTTTACAACATGAACGTATACTGAATAAAATGTGTTTACCTGGCAAGTTGTTAGTTTGCTAATGCACTTAAGAATGTTTTTATTTGGTTTCGTTTCGTTTCGTTTTACTTTTGGCTTAGTTTTTCTCTATGCTGCATATAAAAACAAATCATAATTAACTCGTATTTTTCTCATCACTCTCTTTGCAGCAGGCAGTGGCAGGATTACTTGCTTGCAACAGTAACAGTAACAGTTCGACTGAACAATGCAACAATTTGCCCACCACGACTCACACTTCAATACACTGCTGCGGCGTCGGTGGCAACTGCATAAGCATAAGAGTTATGCTCAAGGCAAAAACTACTGTACATGAAACAACTTAATTAGTTGTTGTTTCAGCAAAAAAGCCATACCGAACGAGTGAGATAGCTATAGAGAGAGAGAGAGAGAGAGAGAGTAGAAGGCAGGCACGCGAATTTTAAGAAATATTTGCTCATTTTGCTTCATTAGTGCCAGCGCGAATGTTTAAGGCCAAGAAGGGCTGCGGCTGCAACAGCCACAGCCTCAGCTGCAACTGCAACACGACCAAACACTGAGCCAAGAGTCGTTCTGCCCCAAAGGCGCCACTTTTGTTTTCACGCGCGCGCTCGTTGCTTTGTTGCTCGGTCTGTGAGTGTGGCTGTGTGTGTACGTGTATATGTGTGTATAAGTGAGTGTGTGTGTGTGTGCATGCTCTATATGTGAGTTAAGTGCGCGTGTGTCTAAAATTAAAAACTACTGCAACAGAAACGAATAGCGAATAACAAATAACGCATAACGAATAGGCGAGCAAATAAAGACAAGTTGAAATTTAAATATTTAACAGAATGGATTTGCTGAAACTCAAGGCTGCGACTAGAACTAGAACGAGTACGCGCTTCCGCACTGCAAGGACTTCCACAATGCACGTAACAACGGCAGCAGCAACACGAACAGCAACAACAACTTATCACGGTTGCAGCGCCATCTGGCAACGCTATTTGGCGTTATTCACATTGCTCGTAGTCGCGGCGCATATCAATATAACTTCCGGTCAAATAGATTGGGACGATGACGATGATCCAGGTGAGTGAGTGCTATAACAAAAAAAAAGAAAAAACAAAACCCATTCATTGTGCGACAACAAAAGCCGAGCACTACATACAGCACGGTTCGCTTCACCTTAAGCGCTGTGATTTGCATAAATTTCAAACATTACTCCGAATGCCAGACAACGGTTCGATGGAAAAAGTTTAAGGGTACCAAACAAAAAAAAAAATAATACGAATCCGACAGCAACAGAAGCGATTTGCAATTGGATTTTGGTTATGTTTTTGTAATTAAGTTATGTTGCCATTACGTATACGCCCCGGAAGGCTGCTTTACCGTGTCCATGCGGCACGGGCCTTTTAATTAATAGCAGATTTATAGCTTGAGATTTGTAGTGGCAGGAGTAGGAATTGTATATATATATATATACAATTATTTATATACACATTTATGTAAATGAACGTCTATAAATGGAATTTTAATTATTCAAAATCTACAGTTTAAATATTTAATGAATTCATAAGTCTGACAGTTTAATTGCAAGAGTTTGGCGTAACTTTGGCATAACTGGTACGCGGGTGTGTGTACGGGTGCTGATATCTGTACGTGGGTGTGCCAAACGCAAAGCGAATTGAAGCTCGAGTGGGTCTGTGCAGACAGAGGAGTTCCGTGGATGAGTTGGAGAACTTTGTAGGTGATACTTTTATTTATTTGCATTTCAATTTCGTGTGCTTCGAGGCACAGGGAGTTGTTATAAAACTTGTTATGCCAAATCGATACCAGGAACGACAAAATAAATGGTTATTTTAAACTTGAGATAATACACAAAACAATCGATTTATAAGCTGACATATTGATATACATATATTCACAAATATATATATATGTATATATATATATATATTTATAAGTGTCAGTTTATAGCGACTATTTTATTAAATTTAACTTTCTTAATGGAAAGAAAAATTTAAAATAAGTAGAATGAATGTAGATAATACGCAAATAAAAAATAAAATAGACGCTGATAAAAAAAAAACTTTTCACACAGCATTATTGATGATAAAACTTGGCACGAACGTAAATTTAAGTAGGATACGTTTGCATTCGTTGATTTATTTGACAAACATGCATACTAATTGCATAGATAAATCCAGAAAATATGCTCAATTTATTCAAATCATACCCACATCAAAATAAATGTTGGCCTACTTATTGAAAGCATTTCTCAAAATATAAACTTAAATTTTTGGCAACGAATAGAATTAATAATATTGATTCAAATAGTTGCGGTATTTTTTCAAATCACAGCCACATTTAAATAACCGTTTGCCTGCACATTATATATATATATATATATATATATATATATATATGTATATTTTTGTGGTTCCGAATGAAAGTTGCTTGTGTGCCAAAATCACGGACATTGTCTCATTTATCGATTTTTGCCCATTGTACACACTTTTAAGCTAACGATGCAAACTCAAAATGTTGACAACAAACATTTTTCAAGCTGTGCACGCGTTGTCCTTTCTGTCCCTGTTACAGCTTTTAACGTTGTCGCTGTTGCTGTTGCTATTGCTGTTGCTGGTATATATTCTCTATGAGGTAGACCAGGCCTTGAACAAATACACAGCGATGCGCTGTTTTTGTTGTACCCCCAACCGAGCCGACGAGTTGTTGGCCCGGTGGGCGCCTTGTTTAAATAAAAGCAAAATAGAAGCTGCCCCGCTGTGATTCCATTTTGGTTTGCCGTGTACAACACAGCAACTTTTTCTCTTTCCCTCTTTTCTTTCGTTGCGTTTGAAAAATATGATTTTGCATAAATTTTTGAAATACATGCTGGCATTGTGAGTCAAGGCTGAGATAAGCTAGTGAGCTCTACTGACTGTGCCTTCGTGTGCCTCGAATCGGCAACTTGTAGAACTCAGAATGCTACCAGCCGTACAAAAAAACAAAAATAATCAAGCCCGCGTCTAAAACAAACAGCAGCAACAAAAAAAAGGTAAGCGTCATGTGCAGGGCAGACTTACATATATCCTGCCTTTGGGACAATTAAACAAATTGCAGAAGCTTACAAATATTTTCTTATTTAATTTTTGCAATTCAATTTCACAATTTATAACACATACAGAGAACAAAAGGTCTACGGTATCTGAGTTTGAAATGTGGGTGCCACATTTATTATCGATTTATACGCAATTAAAATAGATTAAATAATGCAAGTTTCGTCAAAATAAAAAGGAAAACCAAAACCAATCTGTCAAGTTGAAAATTATATCTTATACCTAGAAAAATAAAATTGTAGATGCTCATTTAAAAATGTTTTCCGATTTTATTATATATTAAATTAATGGTTACGCTAGTCCTACGAGTACACATGTCATGCTACCCGTCTATATATTTTATGGCCATAGAGGGTATAAAGAGCCGCAAAATTGAGCACGTTATGGGGGATGCCGGATGTCATAAACAACTGACTCTCTGCAACCAAAAACTGTAAAATTATGAAATCATAAAAATATTTTTACGATTACATAAAAAGTTGCGAAAATGTGGGCGTGGCACACAGCAGTCACATGGTGTTAGCGTAGACACAAACCGCGTCGCGGTCCTTTCTGTCAAACAATTGCGTGATAGCACAGAATTTAACTTTAGACATACGCCGTACTATGACTTCATTAATTATCAAACAGCCGAGCTTGAAAATGGCAAAGAGCGTTGCCGTCTAAATAGTTTCAGCCCCACCCGAATAGGTTGAAGTCCGGTCCGGCAGCTAAAAACTCAGCGCCGTATATTCTAATTACGCATGTCGCAGAGTCGAGAATATATTTTCTATGTATGTGGAGCTGAAACCACATTTGAAGGATTCCATTAAAATTGTGGCACACGCACACAAACACACACACACATATATAATATAGAGTGCCACATGTGGGGGTAATGCTTTTTTTTGGAAATGTTTGATGTTAAACTCTGCGGCTTTAACCCTTATTAGCCGCTGCTTCCTTTTGGCCATAATTCATGTTGTTTTCATTTGTTTTGATTAGCAAATGAATACCGTTAGCTCCTCCACTGGGGCACTCGGGATTGTTTGGCTAGCGAATCATAATCATAACGTGACTTGAGTAGGGCAATAAAATTTGGAGTATTTTTACACACACTTCCAGCTCCGGCTGTGCCCATCCCGCTCGCACTCTGTTGCGTCGTTCCTTGCGTGTTTCACTTGCCACACGGCAGAATCGGACCTGTGAATTGGTGGAGAGTTGAGAACTTCGAGCTGCGAGCTGCGAGCTGCGAACTGAGGCACAACAAAATTTTAATTTATGCTGCGCTGAGTGCGTTATGCCCCAATTCTTTGGCGATGAGTGTGTTTGAGTGTGAAATCTCACTTTAGAGCACACATAAGTGCACTAAAAAAGAAAAACACACAAATAGTTCACTCGCATAAACTCACCAAGCGTTGAGAAGCTACAAAAATAACTACATTCAGATTTCAGGAACGTTCTATGAAATCCCAAAATTATAAAATGCACCACTCATTCAGCCTTAGATATTAAGCCAATGAAGTTTTTGATTAATTGGAGTAATTAAAGCATTAAGTTTCCAATTTAATAACCTCTAGATATCATCTTAAAATGTACCTGAATCGGCTAAAATCTTAAGAACAATACATTACATTTATTTTATTTATTTATTTTTATATTTATTTAACAATAATAAATATTTATTTTCTAGAGGAACTCAAATTTAGTACAGCGTTTTCCTGCAAGTGTAGATATGAGTAGAAAATCATATGCCTAGCTAGATACGAACTCGGAGCGTGTGTGTGTGTGTGTGTGTGTGTGGGTATATATTGCCCTTATAAGTCAAACCTCAAATCGGCACTTCAGACGCGCGCTCTATAGCTCATTTTGTTGTCGCTCGCTCGTCTCTCATCGCTCGTCGCTCGTCGTTGATTGCTGCCACTGTCGTTCTGTGGCGCAACAAAATGTTGGATTTTCTTTAGACACGCGATATTTGCCGTTACACCCGATATGGGTATGGTGGCGATGGTAGTGGTGGCATGGGTTAAATGAGGCAGCCGCAGACGCGAATATGTACAAATTATAATTCATATTACATATTTGATGAAACACATTCAATCATTCAGCTGAGTTCTAGCCAGTTTCTTTTGGCCTGGTTCGCTTCGCCGCCGCCGCAGAAGCCAAAGCCAATAATTACGCAGTCTTGCCGTGTGGTTATTTTTAATGATAAATGACCTATGGCAAAGTGTTGGGTAATTTTTCGGAGCTTATATCAAAAAGTTTAACTTAAGGGCTGTTTATTTGTTAGGTGGCGCCTCGCCGCCCGTGGGCGTGGCCCTAATGTTGTGTCAAAAATACTTGGCATTGCCACAAGTCGTAATCAGAAATGCATATGTGTGCGGTATGTGTGTTTATTTATGACACGATAACAACAAGGGCAGGACAATTTGTCATCTGTCAAAAACCCAATGCAGTTACATAATAATTAACCAAGCTCCAAGCTATTCGTATTTACATTCATGTCCATATATGTGTGTGCTATGACGGTTGACTCCTGATGTTTGGCTATGAATATGTCCACGCGTTATCTTAACAAATTGTTGGCATCATAACTCATTAGCAGAGGCTCGAGTTAAGTACTTGGATGATTACTTATCAATGTTTACCAATCATGCACATTGTTTTTAGCTTACACTTAACTATGCTAAGGCAAATTAATATTAGATATTTCTTTTTACTACGTTTCTGGAACCTCTTCAAATTTTGGCACCCTGAAAATGTCTCAATCCAGAATTTCTTAACATTCGAAACAAATCGACTATCAAGTGCCTTAAATCTGAGCTGTCAGAAATTACAAGTAGCATGTATAACAAAATCACAAAAAAACAAAAATGAAAAATGTCACTTTGAAAATCAGGCGAAATATGATCTCAGTTGCAACCAGTTTGCAAGACTCGCTGCAGTCCAAAACTGTTCGCTTTTGTGGAAACGTATAAATTTTCTATTGAT